CAATTGAAGCCCTTGGTGTAAAAAGGATCCAAGCCACAATTTGTCATGAAGTGACTGTTTTAGCTCAAAACATTTGTTAACGAGGATTTTACTAGCCACATACAAATTATTTTACCTCTAATCCGAAAGATGTGCTATTTTTCGTAATATTTATATTTAAATAAGTTTTTTAATTATATTTGACAGATTTAAAACAAATTAAAAATTTAATTTCCCAAACCTTACTTAATATGGCATGTAACCAACCTTATTACGCCAAGGTTTTCAATTTTTTCAATAATAAAAAAATTGTTTAATCCGGGCCCGACTTTTCCCTCGAATCTAACAGAGATAGCACAATTCCGTCTTGCTTGGTTCTCGACCGCCAGATCAAAGACGCCGACACGGAGTTGTGGAGCTGTATTGTATTAGCTGTGGTATAAGGCTTGCTTAATGCAGTTCCCGGATAGTTACTTACACATTTATAAAGACTTTAGGAAAATGTTTTTTAAAACTTTTATAACTGTTTTGTAAATTTTAAATTTTGAGGTTATGTTGCATATCAAAATCACTATATTTTTAATTTTTTAAATTTATTTGGTGAAAACAAATGATTAATTCTAGATTTGTCATATAACGCGGTATAGAAATAATGTACCTATGGCTCATAATTGAGTAATTTTTAGATGCGTGGCAAAAATTACTGACAATTACTTTTTGTATTATCTTGTTTAAAATTTATCATACTTCCTTTATTTTTTATCTGTAATATTTACCGACATAACAATTTTAACTTCTTCACCTGCCCTTGTCGGAAAATTATAGTATACCTAAAGTCTTTCAGAAAGACCAAACGATACGCAAAATACACACTGTATTGATTTTGTTTCGTGCTGTCCGCGTTCCCCAGCTTTTTCGTAAATTCCGAAAACTATTACGAAACTGCTGTTTCTTTTTTCTCAGCGAGACATGCATTGGTGCCCACGGGAAAGTAAACACAACGAAATATTCGTGCGCTTAAAGCAGATGTGTCTAATACAACGCCGACCGACGACCGAAATCGACAATGGAAAGTTTTGATAAGGAAACCCTGTAGCAGTTCGCGCAATAATAATAATAACATCGCATATCCCATCACAAGCCGCTGAAAATCTGATACAAGCAATAATGAAGAGCTCTTAAGTGGCTGCTAACATCGACTCATGGTACAAATATAGCCAACCAATTAGGAACAAAGGTTTCCTGCTGCGTAGCAAACTAACTTTGTACGCTGGATATTTTGCATGAATCAGCCATGCCATGCGGCAATGCGCTTTCTTCCTCTGACAACACGTGTTCGTCATAAAGCACTGTCATCGGCCGATTTGTTAACGTTTCGGTGACAGCCAGTATTTCGATATAGTTTTTTGCTTTTGGAATTTTCGGTTACTTACATTTTTTATTTATATTTTTCACCTGTGATTTGTTAATTTGCAAGATTATTCAGGTTTACACAGTGCAACAAAAAAGTTTCTGTGATTGAAAATAATTCGATTTAAATTATTTCCATACTATGCTATTAATCGTAATTTAAGGGCCATCCTCGTGCATAATTATAACTTTATTTTTTAAAATTTCTTAAAACTGCTTGTACAGGTGACAAAAGAAAAGGTCTTTCTAGGGATGTATCAGAACAAAATGATTAAAATTCTTTTAAACATTGCTATTATTCAGGATAGAAAAGGTGACAATATTACGTATTTTAAGGAGCTAATCATGTCGTTATAAAAAATAATATGTAAAATCTAATTCTATTAATCCCTGCTGCAAACCTTTAACTTTTTCCTAAAATGTTCTTTCTTTAAAAAAGACAAAAAATAAGTTAGTAATCGCGCACGGCCTGACCCTCTGCAAGTTATATTTTTTTAACCGTAATGTGGAACACATCTATTAAGAACAAAACTAATAGTTGAGATCGTGTTTTAATTTTTGGAAGGACGAAAAAATGTTCCAAGCCCTTTAGTAATTAAAGTATTTAGTTGGGTATGTGCTAATTTGTGTGAATTGTATAAAATTTTGTTGTTTTTTTTGGCTTATTCTTTAATTATAAAATTACAAACTGTTTAAATCAGAAGAAAAAGCCGTTTGTAAGTCTAATTAATATAATAAAGAAGAAAATAAAAGAGAAAACAATGTTGCTACAATACCGAAAACAATAAAAATGTCGGTACTTATGTTATATTACTAACACAAAATTATGACTAAGAAAACTATAACTAAAATAATATAATTATTTTGAAACTAGGTGTGCCGTTATTGTTTAAGGTTTTTCTTTCTGTTTCTTCTTATTTTGTTGCAGGGTGTTCGATAAGTACGGTACATAACTTTTGGATCTAAAATAAAGGTATTTTTGTCACATACACTTCTCAGAAATGCTTCGTTACGGAAATACAGGGTGTGAAAGTTTCATAAAATAGTACATTTTTTAAAATTTTCCAAAACCACTTAAAATATTTTAATTAAATTTTTGCAGCTTTTGAGATTTAATAACGTTGCGTGTTTTACTGTAAACACAGTGGCTTTCCTTTAACCAGTGGCGTGCGGAGAAGGTAAACTTTCACACCCCGTAATTCCGTAACGAAACATTTTTGAGACATAGTGTATATGACTAAAATACCTTTATTTTAGCTCCAGAATACGCTCCTAAAGTTATGTCTCGTACTTATCGAACATCCTGTATATTTCGGTTCTCTAATAGGCATATTTCTAGACTATCTAAAATACATAATTTTCAGTAAAATAGAGTCAAAATAAAATTGTCAATGAACAGGTTTCATGCTTTTTACCCAGACCTCAGGATCATGAATTATGGTGTCAGTTTTCAGTGCGTGAGTTTTCCAAACAGCAAATACATAGTATGATCTTCTGGAAATTAGCAGTTGCCTTTGCATCTGATAATACCAGTTATGCATTTTATTAATGTCGCCGTTTTTCTATCAAAAGGTAATTTTTTTTCTTGAATACCTTCTTCAGGCGTCATATTCCGAAGCATTTAATTTCGACAATGCCTCTGTCATCTATTAGGCCATTCGGAGTAGCAGCCAAAAAGGATCTTTCCTCATATATGAAAAGACCACATTTTCTAATTGGTTTGCCAATGGTTTTTTGTAATTGCTCTATTGCTACTTTCTATTATTTTGCTCTATTGTCAAGCCGCTGAAAAAAGACCTTTGGGTGCAAGATAGCTTCTACTAGCGACTTACAACTAGTAGTCGACCTTCTTTTACATACTGATCCAAACTTAGAAGTAGTCAGACATGTTTGTCTTTTCAAATTCCAAATATCGCGATCTGCCTGCTCCCGTGTTAAGCTTCTATTTCTAAGATTTTTTCATTCCTTTTTTAAATTAGTTTTAGCTTCTCAATATTCCGAGTCAGTCATGTCATGCTTTTTACACTTCTGACCGTAATTTTCACATCTATCCATTATTTTTTTAACTTTCTATTTTTTCTTTTTTTTTGTTCTATTTTGGATCTTTTATTATTCTCTTTTTGTTATTTTGTTTTTCTTTTCTTTTTTGTTTTTTTTTTTGATTTTTTGTTTTTTTTGCAGTTTTTGCCTCCTATAAATTTTGCTGTTATAGAATTGAATTGCTGTCTACGTCATATATAAGACTAGAAGCGTTTTGGATAAGGTAATTTTTATAACCGGACAACTTTTCGTAAAGTTCTGAAACAAAACAAAAATGATAAGATGATAAATAAATTTAAAAAATTCTGATTTCAATTGTAAATCTTTCATCATAGTTTCTGTTGACTCGAAGGGCTCATTACAGAAGTATCCTATAGATTTACATTCTTTGTGTTCTCCAAACATGGGACTTAATGAGCTGTTTATATTCCTCTTTATAGTTTCGATTTTTTGTGAAACATACAAACTTTTGTCACCTTTCCAATGTTGTATTTATTTATACTTGCCACCTTCAATCTAATCTGATTTCGCTAAAATTTAAATATTTCTTACTCTCGGTCAATAAAAGTTGCTAAATTATTTAATTATTATTAACTACCTACTTTTTATATAGACTATTCATAAATAAGAATAATAGAGTAATAAACTTATAAATGACACTGTATAAAAATAAAACTGTTTTCTTCCCATCTGATAATAAAATCCGCTAGTGATTAAAGAAAAAAAGAAAAAGATATACCTCTACTTTGTTCTTGAGGATCAAATGTCCAGGTTTTGCATCTTTAACTAATTCTCTAATTTTTTTGGAGTAGTTGCTCACTAAATGGTTTTTGCATTAAATTTTTTTCACTAGGACCTGGGAATATGGTATAGAATATCTAGTATCTCTTTGTAAGTATCACTGTCTCCATCAGCGATAACTTTATGGTATATCAAATTGTATATTGCCCCGCTTTTTCGAAATCCCTCCGCTATTATATCGGCTTTCATACTTGCTGCAGAGCCAGACCAGTTTTTATAACATTTACGCACTGTTCTGCATTCTTAATTTTTTTTATATAAAAAATTACAAAACGTGCAAAACTTATATCGTTCTAAAGCCAACTATTGCTGCGGCTCCTGATAACGAGTTGCAACTACTTCCGTAGAAACGTTTTGCCCAACTACTATCTACAACGACGGTTATTAAAGGTGTTCCATTCTTGTCCACATCACCAACAGCAATTGTTAACCTTCGCTCTTCTTTGGCAGCGTCTTTCATTATTTGCATACTCGTTACCTCTTAAGCGTCAGAAATTTCGTCGTGAACTTTACTGTAGTCTCTGTGACATACACGGTATGTCTAGAGAGGCACTGATTTGTTCTAAATGAGCAGATTGACATTACACCTAGCACTGCATCTGTATTTACTTTGTCTTTTTGCACATGCTACATTTAATATGTAGATTAGAAATAAGACCTTCCTTTTCTTCTTTCTGTATGAGCATATTTAAAAGAGAACAGCCGAATTTAGTAGAATCATAAGAAAAACGTATTAGAGAGTTTATGAAATAGTTTAAGTCTACTATACGTCAAGCTTCTAAAATTATTAAAGATTCGTGAGAAGGATTATAAATTGACTCTAGCTCATTTTTTTCTACAACTTGTTCTTCAACTCTTTTCTAAAAATACAAAAACGTAAGTTACTTTAGCTTTTGGCATTTTTTTTTTATTAAAAAAATATAAAAACTAGCACTATGGTACTTTTCCTCAAAGTGCATAGTTTAGTAGGAACATTGAAGGTGTTATTTTCTCAATATCCCAAAAGTCCACAGCAATGACTTTATTGAAATTGTAAATCTCATATTTTTTTTTTATTTTTAAATTCCAACTAGACCCCTTTAACTTACACTTTTAATTTTACGAAAGAATCGAGTTTATTATAGTAAATATTCAAAATATGACGTCACCTTTATATATTTTTTATTTTTACCGTTTAAAACACCTTTTACGTTCATCAATGAGTTTGTTTTGAAGAAAAATTTACTTTTTGTATGACTTTTTAAACATTGAACACTCTGGAAAACGTACATATTTGAATCTGTGTGTTCTTTTATTTTTTACGATTTTTATTAAATTTTTATATTAAATATAACCTTAGTTATGAGTTTAATATTTTGAAAAATAAAAACAGTGATCTAATACTAGATATGTTTGCAAAATTTGGTTTAAATCTGCCATTTATATCTTTTCATTTATTTTTTTTTTGTTAAACCCCCTAAAAACCCATTTCCTACGTTACGATTTTGTTCAAAAAGCAATTAGCTCTAGAATTTCACATTTTAGATTTTTGGTGAAAATATCATAAACATATAATTTGATTAGGTATTTAATAACATATTAATAATAAAACCTACCTGAACCTCACCATTACTTTCAATTTTGTTATAGTCAGATTCTCCAAAATCATTTTTTGATGTTGTAATTGGTGTGAGCTGTAATTAAAAAATTTACGTAATTATAAGTATATAAGATTAGTTTTATTTTTCACCTCTATTCTTGAAGGAAAATGTTTACGCTGTCGTCTCTTTGTACTTAATCTTAGATGGACCTACGATGAAATGGTTCATTATTCTTTTCTTACTTACCCATTTCTAAATTATTTCAAACGTCTTTAATTAATACGACACAAGCACAATACAAATATAAATAATGAACAAAACGCAACGTACGTAAACTAACTCCTGTCATGACAAAGCAGGTGCGGGCTACTACACTCCTGAAGGACATATCCGTCTTTGCTTATCTATTACCTTTCTAATAAATTTCGGTCGCTTATATTAAATTCTTAGCAAATTGAACTCAAGTCAAATAAAATACGCTCATTGAAAATATTTGTCAACAAATCTCTTGCTACTTACTCAAAACTTCAAACTTTTTACTAAACTTCTAGGAAGCACGAGGCAATATTTTGATATTCTCAAGTACCACCTAAATTTTAATTGTGCAATATCAATATCGGTGTTTTTGTTTTGAAATCTAATGCCTATTATGGGTTATAGTTTAACGTGGAACTACTGCTTGTTTATTGAGATTATGAGGACGTCAAGGAAGGGCGTAAACACATAAAATCGCATGCAAAAACTTTGAAATACATGGAAACTTTTTTTATTGTTGTATTTTATTTTTATTCCTTTTGATAAAATTTGGTAGTGAAGGAAACTTTATTTTATGCTTTTTTGTTAAAGATCCGGCATTAAGGTCAAAAGTTTGGTATACAAGGGTGGCAAAAAATCCAAAAAACTTTTGCTCGTTAGTTAAAGAGCAACACATTTCTCATCAATGATCTGGATCCCTTTTTTTTTGTAGCCGTATTTTATACTGGAGGAATCACAATGACCGATCAATATTTTTTAAATGCGTAGAAGGCACTAGTTAATATCTATTTATATATAAGCCGAATTCCCGTAACTGAAAAATTACAAATATTTGAGGTTATTTGACCATTCTGATACTAACGCTTCATTTTTCTTAAAAGGTAGGGTAATCCCAGTAATACTTATTCTATATCTAAAAAGTCAACTTGATTCTACATCGTAACTAACATTTTTGTAGAGCATGATTGAAAAAAATTTTTTAACACGTTGAGTGCCAGATGAGACAAACGTGGTCTCGTACAACGTTGGGACTCACAGGTTATATGAGATCAACGTGGACTCGTGTAGACACATTTGGCCAGTTAGTATAAGACTGACGTGACACCATACAGCAAATTGATTTCAAAAAATATATTTGAGTAAGAGGGCAATCTCATTTTTTGATTGCTACATGTACTTCAGAAAAAATACAAAATACAGTAATATTGCATGCAGAACATTTCATGGTAGATTGCGGTGTTTGTTTGTTTTTTTGAAACCTCTTTAGATCCACGCTGCTTAGAAATTTTCGCATAGCAAGTCGCACAACGTTTTCTATTGGCTCGACTAACATCTTCGAGTAAGTGAATTGTTTTCTTGGGTCCTAAGTCTTTTGGAATGGCGTTTGTTTCAACCTTTAATAAACTTTTGATGACTTTCTCTTTAAACGGGGTGACAGATAATTTTTCGTTAGCAATTTCGTGATGGGCTGTATAGGTATTTACTAAAGCTGTTCCAGTCAAGAGCTCAAGTGCTAGTTTGCGATACCAATTTAGACTTCTTCTGAGAGATGAGGCAAAAGCTTTTACCTGATCCGATAGATTAATGAAAGATTTACATTTGTTATACTCCAAAATAATTCTTCAGTATGCTTGGTACTTTGAAACAACACATCGCGCTTATCTCTCCATTTTTGTACAACAATTCCTTCTTTACATTCAGCAGCAATTGACTCGCCCTTTTACAGGTTTCACTGAGTGATAGACTTTGGGTTGAACTTGTGATTTCTACGTAATGTACCAACCAAATGTGTATTACGTTGTAGTAGCTCAGTAGCTAGACTGACAGATGTATACCGATTATCGATGAATACAGTACGACCTTCATCTAGGAGATTACCCAAAGATAATTTTGGACGGGACTGAGATCTGCTCATCCTTAGATTTACCGCAGTAAACGCTAAAACTGTACGTGTAAGCCTTTGTTAGACATAATTTGAAGAGTTTTATTCCTAATTTATGCCTTTTGTTTTGAATATATTGTAAAAGTTTAAGTCTGCTTCAAAAGGGAACCAATGTTGTGTTGTTACAAACGTTTTCTGCCGGTGTAATAGGATCTTTAAATGTTTTTTTTCAATTTGTCCAAAAGAGGTGTCAGTTTTTGTAATCTGTCGCCTCATAAAACAGTTATCGCTAAAATGCAACATTTGCAATAGCAACTGACACCTATTGTGGGGCATAATATTTCGTATATAGTTAGTATATATTTTGTCCTTCGACAAATAATGTTGCAACTGGGGAAAGGGGCATAAACTCATCCAAATGATTGTTCCAAACATTTCCTAATTATTAGGGGATTTCTAGGATGTCATGCGTGCATTAGGATAGGCGTTTTTAGCAAGGAGCTGTGCAGCATATTGATTCGATTCAGTAGCCCAAAAGTAAAGAAAATAGGACGACGTAAGCAGGAAAATAGCATCTTACCATCAGATTTATAATGTCATCATTTACTAAGTAATTTATAGAAATCAATCGGGTTTTTATCTAACATTGTTTCATATGTCTGCCTGAAAACCAGTACGTTCTTCGTCGAAAATAAATGTCTTTAGGTGCCTGCCTATCAATTGTTCCTACTGATATGCATTATTATTTACATTTTGGTCGTCCTCTTCGTCGCTTGATGATAAACTCTGCATCTGTCGATTAACATTTTCAATTGTCTCGTCTATATCTGAGGCGTTGTCGCTATGCTGTAAGTTTGTGGTTATTCCAGTCAAAGTTAATAGTCCCAAGTCATATTTTTTGATATCTTGTAACTCGTCGTTCAATTTTACCGCGAGAGTATTTTTTTTTACTTTTAGTTTTTTATTAGGCGACTGATAACCCTAATATAGCGAATCAAAACCGGAATATTCATTGGATTTGGATTCATATTCTTCTGACGTACCATCGGGTTCAAATGCTTCATTATCGTCTTTGTTAAAAGCCATTCTTGCCATAATTGCTGTATATGTTGTTGATCTTTCTCACACGCACCCATCTTTACCGCGCGGAAGTCCAGTAACCAACCACTAAACGTAGCCCACACACCTTACTTGAGCCCAATTTGGGTAGGTTTTTATCCTGTTTTACTGAATCGAAACCCTTCGACCCACCGACCCTTCCCCCTCGACAACTTTCCTCAAGGGGACTCAAGTTCAATTCATCTGATTAGTATACCAGTTCTTCTTAAAGGGCTGTGAAGGATGACATTTAGACAGGGTTTGCTGAGGGCATTTCCCTGTTTCGTAATCCGTTTGTTTGTCTTGTGTGTCTTCATTTTGTAAGAGTTCGCCATCTGTGAAAGCTCTCCCAGTCTGCACTGGCGACTAGGAGGACCTTCTCCCCCAGGTGGGTTGTCGTCAGTTGTTCAGTCCTTGTCTGAATCGCGTGTTGTATTCTTATAACGTATTCTGAAAGGGAATGCTGAAAAATAATGCTGAAAGAGAAATCTTATAATATATGAGCGTCTTGAATTTTTACACCTTTCGTGGTTTGGTCACTTGCCGCCATAATCCAGCACTTTGCGTGGTCTGTCGTGTCTCCTATAAACCGCTTTCTCATACTTTGTTAGTTTTCATTATTCAATATTAGGGTGCGTCCTTAGTTTTTAGGTGTCCGTAACCTTCTTGTAAATGAGGTCTAGGACCCTTTTGGATTCTAGATCTCTTATAATTACGTCATTTCTGGTATACCGGTAGGCATTTAAGGTCCATCTCAGGCTGATGTTTTGTTGTGCTTGTATCCTCTTCCTGTTTGATTTACAGGTGTTGCCCCACGCCGTCGAGGTATACATCAGTATAGACTAATTACTGCCTAAATGAGCCTCATTTTTGTCTGTAGTAGGAGTTTGCTCTTACGTCCTATTAAGCAGTTTAGTCTGGATCTTGCCTGTTTCGACTTCCTAACTACCATGTCCACGTGCTTGGTGAAGGTGAGTTTTTGGTTCATAATAACTCCTAGATATCTGGCTGAGTCGGTCCATGGGATGTCCTGTCCATTCATCGTTACTTCTTCTACTGGAGGGTGACGTCTCTTCTTAAACAGCACAGCCTGTATCTTCTCTGCGTTGATCTTTATCTTCTATCCTATGCACCATTCTTCTATGTCTTCCGCTGCGTCTTGTAGATATCTTGATGTCCGCCGTGTATATGGAATACAGCAGTGGTGACAATACCGCCCCTTAAGATACTCCCGCTTCCGGAATTCCTGGTCTTGATGGGACTTGTCCTATCTTGACCCGAAATTGCCTTCCGCCCTGGGCACGAAGGTACATTCTACGTGAACATGGCTTGTTTTCTAATATATCATAGAATGCATCAATTGGAGGTAAACATGCTTCATTAAATCGTCCAAATGAATCGAAGTAGTCATATGGCATAATTCCTTTCTTTGTTAATAATTTGCATTGATCTTCAGATAATTTAGCAAACTGAGATCTTAAATTGGGAAAATTTTCTAGATATGATGCTAATGTACTTAAACGAGAGTTCATGAACCGAAAACTATCAATAAATCGACACTGAATGGGAGAATCTTCGATATGTTTGGTAAACGAAATATACTTCTCTTTGGTGATAGGAAGTAAATCAACTCGACCTGGCAGTCTAGTAGCTATGTTAATTATTACAAAGTGGGCATCATAACCGGACAAGTTGTGAAAGACTACAGGAACCACATGACTATCCTGATAATTTATGTAACATCCCTCATGGGATGGACCTCTATACTCGTAGTTGTTGTAAGGGAGAAGATAAAAATGATCTCTAACTTTTTTATCGTAAGGCTCGAACGGTTTTTCACATATATGACAATGTGTAGATTTTTGAAAATCATATTCCTGCTCTGCAGAGATATCTATATCGAAAGGGCACCAAAAGAGAGTTTCCAAATCCTCGGCCAGTTTTTTCATTTCATCAGTGAACCACTGCATACAATCGGAACCCCTGTATGATCGATAAAAGGAAATAGTGTCATCATAAGAATATTTGAAGTAGTAGCCCACAGCAGCTGGAACATGTTGCTGATAAATATTTTTATCTTCCATTGGATTCAATACACTTTCCAAATCAGCGTAAACGATGAAAGGGACTCTTTCTTTATTTTTAAAATTTTTAAACTCTACCTTAGATTTATAACCTTCAGGCATTTTGATAGCACCATGATTTAATTTTTAACAATCTTCTATATGCATGTTTAATTTTACCTCGGAACGGAAATAATGAAGACAGTGATCGCAAAAGTATTTTGCATGCCTTTCATTACTCAATTATTCGGAAAGTAGTCTCGAAAGGCTTTTAATCCATACAAAGTGATATTTATTATCACCTTCCTCACCATCCTTATAGTATTTATCTTGAATAAGAAGTAAATTTACATGGCAATCTTTCTTATTTTTAGAAAGATATGTTGGAAGAGTAATAAATGATTTTTTTTTTGTTTTTGTAGGATGTACACATTTATGGAAATATTGTTTTGTTTTTCGAAATTTGGAATTTGTTTCATAGTCATTGGAAATTGAATACCTTTTAATTTGAGAACAGTTGAGTAGTGTGGATATATAGACATACGCTGTGAGTTTTTGATTACTGGATATAAAGCAGCCGTAACAGACCAAGCGAAGCAAGCTTGATCATCATTTTTAATATTAATACATTTTTTTTGTTTAATTTGTGAAGGTAAATCAATATATGATGATCCCAGTTGAGGGGTAAACTTGTTTATATTTACACCCAAGTTCACAACTTGTTTTAGAGCCCATCCACTATCACGTTCTTGAATTTCCTCAAGTTCATTTAGAATGGGTGTATTAACCTTTTCATCAAACCATTGACCGATGTTAGTGTCTTTATATATTGGTGAATTAGAAGTTGTAAAATACTTAAATTCAGCCTTCGATAAAACAAATTCACCACAAAGAACAACATTGACTTTAATGGCTTCTTTTGTTTGTAGCGTATTATGGATTTTTCGTTCAAAAATAGATTTGCAATCTTGTAAAAAAGTCTTCGGATCTTTGTGTTGAAGATTTGTAATTACTCCAGTATGAATGCGACTATTAAATGTTGATAAAGAATCTTGCCAGAGTACACGGTTTTTTGCAGTTTCCTTTATACCTTCCTTTTTTCCGAAAATTCTTTATTTGCGATCGATGACTCTTAATATTAGCTAAAGCAGCACATAATCGTTGTTTTTCATCCAGAGTCGCAGCAATTTTTAAATTATGATTGATTCGGCGAACAGCTTTATTACATTCAAGAAGACCAGTTTCTGCCTCATTTGTATCCATTATTAATGATAAAATACTTAATATAGCATGGATTTTTTCACATAAAACTTTCAACCAATACATCTTAAGCCTTTGGACAGCGTATAGTATAACTTATGTAGTAGACCTCCAATATGGTACTGAATTATAAGCTTGGTGTGTTCTAAATATAAGTAGATTTTCCCGGATTGGTTCGGATTTATTCGGATTTGTTCGGATTTGTCTCAGTCTCAGCTGGAACCATCTACCTGCCCGTGCTAGTATGATAGGTGGAGGTTTGGGTTTGGTGTTATCTATGACATTTACTTCTTCAGTCACAGTTTTTGTGTCTAGTTTCTTGGCAGTGTGTTGGTCTTCGCTGTCGCTGTCTGATAGGTTACTGGCGGTGTTGTTTCTCCTTTTCTTTGTGACTAGGATAAATCCTTCATTTGCATCATGCAGTTGCTCGCAGTTAATGCTAGCAATGACTTCATCTACGTCCGTGCTGTCGCCCCTCTCGGTGCTTAATTTGCTTAAGCTTGTCGCTGGCGGTGCACTAAACGCAGGAAGAACACGTCCGTGTTAGTAATACTCCCACCTCACCACCACCACCACCACCACCACTATCACTCCCACCGCAGTTACACGTTAAGATCATGATGTCCAGGTTGGTCTAATATGGCCGTGGAGAACAAATTGGAACTTTTTTCACAAATTGTTCTAAAACTGGCTAAATACAATTTTAAAGTTATTTATTGAACAAAAAATAAACTCGGTCTTAGGGTTCGATTTTTTTTATTCATGATAGCACTCAACGTGTTAACCCAGAAACCAACATAAAAAATTAAATTAAACCTATTTTTAAATAGTTAAAAGCATTATCCAAAAATTGTCTTCAATTCAACAAATGCTGCTTGGTACCACCGATCACTAAAAAATTTCTTTTGTTTAAAATAGCTTCCTTCATTCTATAGTTTGCGTATGTTGGCAGTATAGTGCTTGAGTACTTTCTAATAACAAAAAAATTACAACTTATTTTTTAAGGTTTGATATTGAACCTAAGAACTAAAGTAAGAAGTAAACTTTAATTAAACGCTTTAATGAACTATGATTTATGATTCCTAACGTCATAAAAATAAATCGAAAAACTTTAAAATTGTGTATAACATACAAATACTTTTCCAATATCACATAGAACATTAATGATGCATGACACAAAACGTGCGCTATATACTTCGTAAAATTCTCGACAGCTCAGCATTTTATTTTCCCACATTTTATAACTTTACTTAAGTTTAAGACCTTCTACAATTTAAAGCACTTGATAAAAGGACGAGGGAATCTGGTGCACAATATCGCGCTAAGTAGAAAAAGCCGTAGAGAGAACCGTGCGTCCTTGATTACTTCTAAATCGCTCTTAAAACATTACTCCTAACTTACGACTCAAGTAAACCCTTTTCAAGAAGCGATTCCTGCATGCCAATGCACTCGCCTGACACTATCTCCCGCTTGCCACCCTAATCGCAAAATCGCCCGGGGGCGAGTGCCAATTGAACACGATAAGTGGGATTTACTTCTTGAATAGTCTGCATTGAATATAGATAGACATAATAATAAAAGTACAGGGTTTCGCAATGAAAAATATTAGATTTTAACAGCTCATAACTTAAAACGGCTGACGATAAAAGTGAGAGGTTTTCACTGATGTTTTATTGTCTTACTAGTTTTATATCACCGATGCCAACATTTTATATCACTTATACAGAGTGCTATGGTCACAAAATATTATACAGGATCAATGACATCTAGAAACGTTAACCGTCATCACCATCGTCACCATTGTCATTATCATCATTTTCACTCATATTTGATATCACCCATATTTTCTCTTTTTCTCACTATTTTAAGTTTCTTCTTTATAACAATAAGGCAAATAGGAATGCATACTATCAAATAAATGATTTCTAGTTAATAGTCCAAAAGCCCAGTACCCCCAGACATAACTTATTTATTAAAGGACTAAATGTTGAGCCTCAAGTAGAGTTTATATGTGTATTGAATGCCCCCATGCTTGCTAAGTTGGATAAGCGGCCTATTCACAGGTACCAAGTGAGAAAGGTAACTAAAAATAGGGTTAACTTTACTTAAACTCTAATGGTTGATTTTTATATATATTCCATAAAACAATATAATAAAATAATACTGAACATTGTCAGACACTTTCCGTTGGCAATAACTTCCGCTAGACGACTTAAAGCTCCCAAAAATTTTTGTAATTTTACTGATATTCTTATGTCTGGTTTTTATATATGTTATTTAAGGACCTATTTTAAACATATATTTATTCAGCCGTGAATATGCGCGACAATACTATGCTTGGGTTTGGAGCGAGTTAAAACTATTTGAATAATTATTACTTGAAATTATTTTAAAAAAATGTTTTTGTACAAAAATTTTATGAAAAAAACTTCTTTTTAAAAAGAAATTTAGTTATAAAAAAATTTTCCGTAAGTATACTTTAAATACTTACCAATTTTGGTTTAATTATTTTCTATACTTATTCTTATGTAATACAGTTAATGATTATGATTTTATTTTACTATTATTTGTTTAAGTATATTTTCTATACATATTTAGAATATTATTATTGTCCAGCAATGAATATCATCAAATAAAAATTCATTTTATTTTACAAAGGCCAATATAATGTTTATATTGATAAAAGAAGACACATTTATTATGAATAATTTATTGTAAATTATTATTATTATTATTATTATTATTATTATTATTATTATTAGTATTCATTTAAAAATATGTTAATGTCTCTCAATCGTCCTGGTCATCATTGCTTACGTCATTAGAATCTTCATCATCAAACCAATCATTCAAGTCATCATCACCATCATCTACTTTATCGTTATCGTCGCCTAGCAGCTTCTTATATAAAAACAAGTCAACAAATTAGAAAACAAACAACTAAGAATACAATAAATTTAGAAATAGAAGTCAATGTAAAATACCTGTATTTTGTTGAAGCGATTCACTGAAAAAACCCAAAATTTGTTCACCAATAAACCATTAAAACTGGTACTGGTTGCCTTCTAATCTCCACCCGTTGTTCTCTGGAGTAAAAATGGTCGGTTGTTTTTTGTGAGCATTATTCCAAATAATTGAAATATAATTTGCTCAAAAAAATTGTTAGAAAAGCTCAGTTTCTCGCATCAAAGTTTTTTAAATTATTGTGGTTAAATTCCTCATTTACATCCGAAACTGTGTAATTATTTATGAACAGGTGAAGCCGGGCAGCATTCACTTCAACTGTTACAGTAACGTTGTAAATGTCACAGATGAAATTTTATATTTTGCTAAATTAATTTTTTTGTATATCTGTATTTATAAATGACTCGCCGAATTCTATAAGAACTTGCTGATACTCAAATTTGTTCTTCAATATCTTGAATGGTCTTTGTTTTCCTTTCTTGGAGAAAGCAGGATTATAGGCACTTCTAGTGAGAGCATGAAATCCGGGTAAGCTCCTACACAACATCGGTCCTAAGCACTCATAAATTTTCGTAAAGTCAATATATCTTTGTTTATGTCCAGTACCTGTTAATAACCACACATTCCGTCATTCTTTAAATTGTGCATATTACCCAACACTATTGTTGCAATATCAGTATCATAACACATTATTACAAAATTATCCTGAGTATCAATATTACAAATATGGTAAGTAACTTTTGTATCCGCATCTTCATGCTCTAGACATGATAAATCGTTGTCTACACTTGATACAACTTTATTGTTTTGAACCTTGTAAAAATGAATTTGTTTAAAATTAATATAAATGCTATTATTGCCAAGAAGTCGGATGGTCTAACTTAATCTGCCTCGGTAATATTGAAATCAAGCTGTGTAGCCTCTTGTTAAAGATATCTTTCGTAACTTTTTATAGAAGGAGAAGAGAATTGGTCAAAAATGACGTCTTATCTTAAGTTGTGTGACCATCTGAAACATCTTCTTTGAAATAGCTCCAAAAGTTTTTGGCACGTTTCTTATTGTATGTAGCAAAAACCCGTCTACTAATAAAATGTTGGTTTGAGAAGGTGGATCGTGTTGAACGTATTTCTCTAAGGATTTCATTAAAACTGACTTTTAGTTTTGAAAGAAAAGCGGAAGCAGTAGATTTTTATTACGTAGAAATAAACAAATAACTAGATTAACAAGGTAAATATAAATCTTCTTAAAAATCCAAATAAACACTTTAATCAAAATTAGATTCTGACAATACAACTACGGTCGCTGTCTTAATTTATGATGCACAATTAAATCATTAATTATTATCAAAACAATAGCTTTAAAAGTACTTTATAAACATAATAATTGGGTAGATATATTAATTTTTAGTTATATATAATGAAATCCGTAGATTTTAAATTTAAAGCAGTATAAAAATAACAAAAAACAGTAGTTTCTACTATTAAAACAATAGACCTGCCAACACTTGGCAGTGCTGTGATGTGTTGATGTGATTATCGTTCGCCATGCATGTGTCACTTACAGCCCCAACGAAAACTATGTTCAAGTAGTTTTTAAACACGTATGCTTCTTCAGTGTCATCATAGTCGTGGAATGGGGTGGAAGGTGGGAGTATAAGTTTAATGACAGATGAATTATATTATTAAGTAAGGAAGTAGAAGAAAAGGGTAGAAGAAATGGTCCGTTACCCCATCTCTACAACTCACATATGGCTACCCTCACCTTCAAATATTTAATTATTGCGGGGGTGTATAACCAAAATGAATGCCTTAAAATATATTTTAGTTCATGTATACTGTTAATTTGATTCCAATAAGTGTTAGCTGCAAAAGATTTCGCCTTAATGCGGCTATCGTGGGTTCTACCTTCTATCTCAGGGAAGAAAAGGCTTGGTAAATAAACATTAAATAATAAATAATATTTCTTGATTGATTAGGTTTATTCTTTTAGTAATCAATGGTTCAATAGATATTTACAGAGTAAATCAAAGGGATAATTAT